AAAATACCAGGCGCCCCAGTTACAATTATGGTCTGTTTGACTCACCAGTCACACGTCCAAGTCAACCAAACTGCAAACCAGGTGATTCTGGTTAACAGTGAATTTCTATTCATTTTATTGAATTAAAAATAATTCAACAGCACATCTCATACATAGCTTACATGTTGGTAAAAGGTTTATTTTATTGTTTACTACATGTAATAATTTATACTACAAAGTTTGTACTTTTTTCCCACAAGTCAGTAAATTGTAGAATCTTCTAATTCTAATTCAGTATTTTTGCAGTAAGGTTAGGACAATCCTCGCTATTTTCTGAGCTACTCTAATAATTCTCTGCAGTTTCCTAAAATTCTTTTTTGTAGAAAGTACCTAAAATAGCTGCTTATATGCAAATTATGCTTCTTTAGATCTTTCGGTGGTCACTTTAAAATACTTTAAATTTGTGAGTGAGCTTTGTCTGATTTTAGTACTCTCTCTCCTACAACCCTTGTTTTAGCCTTGACTGTAGTTCTTTGTGTACTGCTCCCCTCCCCAGATGTTGTTTGGTAAATTTGCTGCTCCAGGGCCCTCCGCCCATATTCTCCATTTTCAGAGCCCCTCTGTCTGGATTACTGGCAGGGCGCTGTGACAGGCAGACACCACTCCACCCGTCTAAAAGGGGGCTTGATGAGGAATCTGAGAGAAAAGCCGTGTTTGTACGTTTACCAGCCAGCTTGCCAGCCTTGCAGTCGACCCTCCAGACCTCTGAGTGTCTGGACAAGGGGCGCCTTTGTCCCTGATCTGCAGGGCTACACCCTGACCCACTAGTGCTCCCCATCTTACCCTCTCTACATCCTGTTGCACCTCAGTCTTTTCACTCTCCAGGCCTGCACCCTAGAATAGCACAGCAGGTCTCCTCTGAAACTAGAGCTGGTGAAGTTGGCAGGGCCCGGCTCACTTTCTACTTTATATCTCTCTGTGTTCTTTCGCCCTCTGAGAAAATCTGAACAAACTAGGAATAATCAGAAATGTATTCCTACTTTCAGTCCACAATAACTAAGAAGGATATTTTGTGAAATGGAACATTTCTGCTCAGCTTGGATTTCTTGTCCACACATGAACTGAGGGTTAGTGAGAAAAACATAGATTTTAAGACTGAATTCCAATATGGTGGATTTGGATATCCTGCAGATAATAAAAACAAATATTTAGACTCCCACTTTGCACATGCCCACGATAATTTTCTGATTTAGAACTGCAACAGTTTTTATTGTCTCCTCCAGTGACTGTGCTTGCATTAGACTTCAGTTGTTAGCTGAAGAAATTAATAACTGAGAAGAGCAAAAACATCAGAAAAATCCTAATAATTTTATTTTGGATGAGTGCAGCCATGTTTATTGTGGGTACATTAATTTAAAGAAAATTGTTTACAACTTTCTGCTCAGGGTCTGTTTTGGTCACTGATTGTAAACTCCAGCTAATTTTTTAGGTGCGTTTCTAGTTTTGTAAGCAAATAGAACCGACATAAAAGTATTTTCTACACATTTTCTTTGAAGTTGTTAACTTTCTTAATGACTGTCTGGCTTTGCATATGGAGACTTTAACAGTACTATACAGAGTTGGATGTTTATATAAAGTGTTACACAGAGATTGTGTTTACCACTGGATTACTGGGCTGCATGTACGCCTAATCATATGCTGATATGCCATAAAGGTGTAGCGGAGACTGTAATTTATGGCTCCTACATACCTTTCCTTTGCTTTTACGTCCTTTTCCCATTTCTGTCTTCTGGAGACACTGTGTAATTACTAGTGATAACAGGTTAAACTTACATACAGAAAGCAGTAGCCATAGTGATTTGGGAAGGTAGCATGTGATGGTCTTCATTTGTTGATTTTCTTATAGATATTTTATAAGAATTACAGTTAATTTGGATTTCTTTTCTTCTGTTGTTTCCATTTTAGATGTACTTGACCTGCCCAACGTTGTTAGCTTCTCTCCTCCCTCGAGCCCAAACCCAGCCAAGAAGAGCAGCTCCATCAATTGGTCCTTCCCAGATAAGATCAAGTCCCCACGAACAGTCAGGAAGATTTCCATGAAGATGAAGAAGCTTCCCGAACTCAGCCGAAAGCTCAGCGTCAAAGGGACCCAAAACAGCAACACAAGTAGCAATGGAAACTGTCAGCTAGAGCCAAGGGCCCATTCTCTCCGGGCCACCGGCAGCGGGTCCGAGACCGTCACCCAGACTTCCGGTCCGCCTCGGTTAGCCCCATCCGGAGGTGGGCCGGCGAGCCGCAACGTAATCTCCCGCTACCACCTGGACAGCAGCGTTTCAACACAACACAGCTTCAACAAGAAGAAGAATGACGGCAGCTCAAAGTCGGCCAGCAAAGGCGGCTACCTCAGCGACGGTGACTCACCGGAGCTGGTTGCCAAATCTGGCAAACATGGCTCTGCCGAGGGGAAGGGCGGAAAAGGCAAGGATGCTGAGGGAGGAAGTTCTAGACTCAATGGCACCGAGCTGGACATTGATGCTTTCCGCCATTACAGCTTCACAGATCAGCCTAAGTGCAGCCAGTACATCTCTGGACTGATGAGCCTCCATTTTTATGGTGCTGAGGACCTCAAACCTCCACGCATCGACTCGCGAGATGTTTACTGTGCAATCCAGGTCGATTCGGTTAACAAAGCACGAACCGCACTTCTTACCTGTCGAACATCGTTCTTGGATATGGATCACACCTTCAACATTGAGCTGGAGAACGCCCAGCACCTCAAGCTGGTGGTGTTCAGTTGGGAACCCACGCCGAAACGGAACCGTGTCTGCTGCCACGGAACGGTGGTGCTGCCTGCACTCTTCAGAGTGACACGCACCCACCAGCTGGCGGTGAAGCTGGAGCCGCGGGGCCTGATCTACGTCAAGCTGAACCTCATGGAGCAGTGGCAGAACTCGCTGGACGGCGGGCCAGACGGAGACAGAGAGCCGCAGGTGTTTGGAGTGGAGGCGTGGCGGGTGGTGGAGAGGGAGAACACCGGGCTGATGGTGCCACTCATCATATACAAGTGCATCAACGAGATCGAGAGAAGAGGCTGCCAAGTAAGTATGTTTGAATGTTGGCTTTGACCATGGATGTTTTCCATTTACTTAACTGGGACCAGCTTTGGCACTTGTAATTGTTTTGTAATTAAGTGCCTTATTATTTTCTCAGCTAAATTTAGGGGCGTTGAAGATTAACCAGAAGGATTCAGTTATCTGAGTGATGATAGGATGGAGCAGGAGACGAATAGATAACTTAGGGCATCGTCTGCAGTAATGTAGGAGTTTCTCTGGTTTGTTGAGGTGAAGAAGGAGCTCAGCCAGAAAGGAAATCTCTGAATTTACTGTATGTTGAACAAGATCCAGGACAGGTGAGAATCATCCCTGCATTCTGACGCCGTTCACAACTAGGTATTTCAGACGTCCAGTCAGGAAGCCTTCAGAGTGGCCATACTTTGGAGGTTTTCTCTCTTTCCCTTCACTTAAATATCTTGCTTTCCTCGAAAATCCTAAAACAGCCGCAGTCAAATAACAAATAGCCCTTCTCAGATGGAAGATGGTGCCTCGTTTTTGATGTTCACAGAGTATAAAAGCCGCTGGAGAAATAACTACGGATTCACAACATCCTTTTAGCTTTGTGAGATGAATGCTCGCCCTGCAGCCACTAATGATGTTGAATGAATCAAAAAGCAGCACACATAATATCACAGAGTTGCTGCCATGGGCAACACAACTCCTTTATTCAGTGAAGAGACAGATGGACGGATTAAGACACTGATGTGGCAAAGATGAAAAGGGATACGAGGATTCTAAACTTTCTTAAAATAATGTTAAAATCATCTCTTTTTCACCTCATTGTATTGTTCATTGTATTGTGTTTTGAGTTGAATATATGTAAAATCTTGGAGAAAAACTAGTGTTGTATTTTACTTTAAACAGCTGGGTGTTGTGATCTCAGGGATCTCAAGTGGTTGTGCAGTTCAGTCTGATTAACACCCTTAATATATTATTTGTTGAGGATGGATTCAGTTTTATGTTTGTTGCAGCTTAAAAGAAAATAATCAGTTTTGGATTCTGGTAAAAAAAAAATCAGAATTTTGCTTCTTCATCATATCTGGGATTTAAAGACTGAGTAGCTGTAGCTTCAGTGGGAGTTGCTTAAAATGAAGATTAATTATATTTGCATGTGAAGTTTTAGTCTCATCAGATGTTTTGCCTTGACAAGAATTCATTGTATGATTTTATCTGATTTCCTGTCCCTGGGATACAAAATATGATGCAACACAGAAATCCATTTCCCTTAACCATAGGACAAGAAAATCCATCTTTTAAGTAAGACGTATATGTTGATCTTCATGAGTCAGTAAATGGCTACAATAAACCTGTTCATATCTACAGTCCACTGTACTGAAAAGCTTTCAAGCAATAAAAACTGATGAAAAATATCAGATGAAGACCCTAGATTTTGACTCACACTAGAGAGTGGAGTCTTGGGGTCTTCTAGTCTCTCTTATCAGAAATACTTTAAGGATTTTGCACTCATTTTATTGGGTGAAATGTTTTGGAAAACCCAGTCAGGTTGTGACACTTGTTTCCTGCCTCAAAAAGATAAACTTTTTACAACTCTAGCATTACCATTACCTTTTAAATATGTTGTGTCAGATTTCTTTTCTTTGTTTTTATGACTTTAACGTCCCGGTGCTGTGAGTTTTATCTATTTATCTCTCCTGTCTGTGGATTTCTGAGTCTGACATGTTTCTCTGCTGTCGCTCCCAGCGCTTCTTCTAATCTCTCCCCCATCCTCTTGTTTTCTTGCCTCTTTTTCATTAGTCTCAAATCAACTTCAGGGGTCTTCTGCATGGGAAGCAGACAGAGGTTAGGCTTGGGGTCGACACCGCATTCCAGGGGAATTTCTGCAGGTTTTTGCCCTCAAAATTCACATTTGCTCGTGTCTTTTATGCAGCCGCTCTCTTTAGATAGTCTTGTTGAAATGTGTGTCCTCGAGGCTTTTCTAAGCTTTTAAGATCCTAGACGAGTGCTGGTACTTTGAAAAGACTTCAGAGGGTACCTGTGTCAAAGAATGGAGTTATGTATGTCTGAAAGAAAGTCTTAGAAGAAGCTTTTTGACTCAACTCACATACACGACATATATGATTGAGAATGTTGTGCTTAGATGTGGAGTGTGCAGAGAAATTATCAGTCTTGAAGGAGCTTTATCACTTCTTTTGTAGATGCAGTATAAAATTTTGACAGTCAGTAAAGTTCTTAAGAATATAATACTGTGTTGAGTTGCCAGTGGCTTATGCAATCAGTTGGTTTGATGGTGTAAGCAGATGGCTTACCATAAAACCATGAGGAACAACATTAAAGGTCCTTTTACAGTAGGAAGCTGTGGTATAAGCATTAATTAAAGAGACAAACAAATCATACAAACAGCTTGACAACTGCTTCACTGGCGTCAACCTCACTCTTGGTGCTGAATGGTTAATCATCAGTTCTCCTGCAGCACTCATTGCTCCAATCCCCTTTTCAATCATCATATCCAGCCCCAACGTCTGAGGAAAGATGCTGCTGTTTTGTTTCTGCTAACTTGACTTTGTCACGAATGTGTATGATTTGGACGAGGTTGTGACGTAAGACGAACCTTCATTCACGTTTAATTCTGACCAAGTTCCATCAGTACCAAATCTAAACAAATACTGACGCAGAGAAGGTAACACAATGTTCCACCCTCAAGGCTTCACAAATGACTCATAACCTTGTTTGGTGTCTATAAGGGTTAGTACCTGAGGTATTTGGATACGCTCAGAGAGGAATTACTGCTCTTTCTACTCAGCCGTCTGAGGGGGGTTGATCAACTGGTTGGGATGCCTGTTGGCCACCTTCTTTACCAGCTTGTTGTAGAAGTGTCCTAGTGGGAGGAGGCCTTGGGGCAGATCCAGGACTTGCAGGACAGATGGTATCTTATGACTGTCTTGATAGCGCCTCAGGCTCCCCCCACATGATCCGATGGCTTGATCAGAGGAGATGGGGGAGTAAGGGATTCCTGCATGGGCAAACTTCCAAAGACGAGAGACTTTATATTAAAGATTTGAAAAATGCAAGGCAAATTTTACCATGGCCTGTTTGCGTAATCAATGTAGTATTAATCTGAAAGTCTGATTTCAATCAAAGACTGGTAAGAGAAATGCTACCTGGCTGTTCAAGTCCAGAAGAATCCCCAAAGCGCTTCAAGTTGCGTTCAGTCATTCACTCATTCACACACACATTCACACTGATGGTGGTGAGCTACATTGTAGCCACAGTGAGTCTACCATGTGCCGGTGCCACTGAGCCCTCTAAGCACAACCAGCAGGCAAGTGAAGTGTCTTACTCAAGGACACAATGACTGAGCAGTCCGCATTTTTAAAATCTGCTATTTAAATTTGGCGACTCTGGTTAGTTGTAGCCCTGAGTTTCTTGTTCTTAGCGTACAGGAGTGGCAGCTGGAACTATGCTGGACCTTGTGCCAAGTCAAACCTTCTGCTTCAAGGTTCAACATGTTGTGGTTCAAACAGATGGTATTCTTGGTTGCAACAAGTACCTTTATGAGCTGCTTTTGCATTGCTGTCATCCTAAACCATCTGGTGATTCACTTCTGACCTCTGACTTCAACCAGGCATTTCATGCACTCAGCTCCAGCCCTGTTTTCCAAATCATTCTCTGTAAACCCGAGAGACTTTTGCTAGTTAATGAGTAACTCAGCAGGTGTGCGTGCCTGGTGAGTGAATATTAAGAACTTGTCACAATGCTTGGATATGTTGCTGTCCCAAACCATTTCCTCATGGGATAAAGTTAGCATTACTGGCGGTCGTACAGGGATCTCCTGTGACGCACTGCATTTTGGGAGATAATTTCCTCCTGCCAGATGAGGAAAGTAATTCCCAAACTTGCTGAAACATTTGGTGAAATTTTCTTCCTTATTAAGTAAAATCTTACAGCTGTTCCCAGAGCAGGAAAATACTCCACATCATTGACATCCACTCTCCTTTTCAGCTCATTTTGTTCGGAGGTCATTGTGCCTGCTTTATCCCCAAACAGGTCTTGGCCGGTGCCGCCTGTTGTGTTGCCTGGCAGCCACAGAGCGTAAGAGCAAGCCCCTCTTTTCTGCTAACAGCTGTTCTCTGCCTGCACTCAAAGAGAGACACCATGTTTTTTATTTCTGAATGGACTTGTTGTTCATTGTGTCCAGTGACTTTTATTTACTTGCACACAAAGTCAAATCCCTAATCTGTCCCTCTTTCTCGTGTGAGGTTTAGAAAATCGCCACTGGGTTTTGCGAGGGCAGCTTAGCAGCAGTCGCTCTGCTGGGACAGATAGACATGGCACTGCTCCTACGCTGGAGCCCGGAAAGACTGGCAGTGTGTGTGTGTGTGTGTGTGTGTGTGTGTGTGTGTGTGTGTGTGTGTGTGTGTGTGTGTGTGTGTGTGTGTGTGTGTGTGTGCACACTCACTCGA